GCGGACACAACATCTCTGTTTGTACGTGGTGCTGAGGATCGAACCCGGGCTGCACGCATGCCAGGCGAGCGCGCTACCGCTTGAGCCACATCCCCAGCCCTTAAATGGCATAGCATTTGCATATAACTTAAGTATATGCTTTCAGATAATTTAAATCAACTCTACATTGCTGTTAATACCTAATACATTATAAATGTTAGGCAAATAATTGTTGTACTATATTGTTTAGGGATTAAAGACCAGAAAAAATCTGTACATATTCAGCACCAATGCATTTCCCTCCTGAATATTAGATCTGTGGTGGGTTGAATCCATGGATGTGGAACTTGTGATTATTGAGGGCCAATTGTATTTGGTGTTGGGCTGGTACAGTAGCAAAGAGAATAAAAAGACACAGGTGAGACAGCCTGCATCCTCAGTTACTCTTCCATTTTCACCATGGTCTTGGAGCTTTTCTAAGAAGTTAAGAGGAGAAAAAAAAAGACAAGCTTAGGAATTCTGCTGGCCTTTGTGCTGTCTCTCTGCTTGGCCCAGGCCCTGCTTTCATTGTCTGACTTGGGTGATAGGTTCATGATGGCCCCATGGAAGACGTGCTTGTGGACAATGGAGATTCTCACAGTAGGGATATCCAGAAAGACCACATGAGAATCTTGGAAGAGCAATAAACTGACTTGGAGAATTCCAGAAGTCCACAGGGTGGACAGGTGTTTGTTCCAAGTCAGGGAACAGTAGGGATATAAGAAAGGCTTCCATTTGGTGTATATGGATTTTGATATTATCCATTGAATGTCTAGCATTCACTATTGTTCATGAATAAATTCATTAAGACAGTAATGAATAAAGTCATTGACAATAGAATAAATCAGACATTTTCCTATGTTCATATATGAATACACAACCAGTGTAACTCCATATCATGTACAGCCATAGAAATGGGAAGTTATACAGTCTACTGTCATATATAACTAAAAAGAATAAAAAATTTAAAAAATAAATTCAATTATTCATTCACATAATCACAAAGCATCCAGCTACCAGAGCAGCCAGAAACTTCTCTGAATACTGATGGCACAAACGGTTGCTGTTTTGAAACTAAACTTCCAAGTGGTTAGCAGGAGAGATTTGTACCAATAGGGGGTAGATCTCAGGGCTGTCCAAGAACTTGGCACTCCACTAGTTGGGGAGAACCCCTGTTTTCCTACAGTGAGATCCCAAGGCCAGTCCAGTCTGGGCACAGGGAGGGAAGCAGTACCAGCAGTGGCCAGTGGTGGCACCCTCAGGACACTTAAATCAATGTGCCCTGCTGGGTGGGAAGGCTATGTTTCTTAGGGGTCTGTGATCTGGGGGAAGAAACTGCAAAGCTTTCATGATGACCTTGCCAGATTTGCAGGCCTTTTCTCTGCTTCCAAAGGTGCTCAGAGCCCTCCTCACTTGCCCTTCACCTCCCATTCCTAAAATTACATATATTTTTGGGGTCCTGCAGTGTCCTCTAGTAGTTTTCTCCACTTTCTTTCCACGCCCTGACCAAAAGTCACAGAGTACCTTGAACGTTCTGTGACCAGGTCAGCAGCAGGTGTTCCCCCAGCAAGCTGATGTTCAAGCTAGGGTCTTAGAACATCCCTGCAGGGACATGTTTACATAATGTTATGGTTTTTGAGGCTGTCCCTCAAAAACCTACGTTTTGAAAGCGTAGTAGCCAGTCTATGGTGTTGCTGGAAAGTGGTGGAACTTTAGGATGTGAGGCCTAGTGGAAAGAAGTTAGGTGACTGGGTGTGTGCACCTCGGGGGGCATTAGGACCTCAGTCCTTTCCTCTTTTTTGCCTCCTGGCTGCCATGAGGTTTCCTCCACTGTGATATTCTGCTATGCCATAGGTCTCAAAACAATGGGGCCAAGTGACTATGGCTGAAACCTCTGGAACCACAAGCCCAAAACAAATCCTCCTTTTAGGTTGTCTTTCTCAAGTATTTTCCCAGTGAGGGAAAGCTGACTAAAACACAGAGAAAAGCTGCAAAATCTATGGGAGGGAGGCAGCATGATAATTGGGCAGAAGTTGTGGGGGATCAGTGTACAAAGTTATCAGAAGCTTATAGAGATGCTTTAGGATCCCTCAAATTCCAAAATGTATTTATAGGTCCATGGGTAAAACACTGAACTAACCTCTAAGTAAAATACAATTAAAAAAATAGTCAAAGTCATGTCCAGTTGCCAAGGGTTTCATAATCCAGTTAAGTAGTAGACACTGCCTGAAGCTCAGGACAGCAGTTCCCTTAGTGCAGGAATGGTAGATTCTATCTGGCAGATGTTGTCTGGGGTGCCTTGGGGGACTCTTGAGAACAAGAAGGATGAGGGATGCTCCAGAAGTGGGAGGATAAGACTGAAGATTAAGTGGAAGAAAGTCCTTTAGGCCAGGAGGCCACTACAGTAGCTATTGACTCTCCTTCTAGTCAGAGCTCTTCTGCCCACCATCCCCCTGCCCTTAAGGTCCTGTGGCTTCCATGCAGGTGTCATGCCTAGGTGAGAAGGCCATGTGAGCTGAGGGGCCTGCACTGACCACCAAAGTGGGGAAAGCCAGCATAAAAAGGCAGTGAGGTACCAAAGCAAGGGTTGCTGATAAATATCTAGGATAGTTGTAGATGTGTTCAGGCAGTTTTTAAAATAAGTAGCCAATAAGGCCATTAGGAAGACTGAAGTGACCTTATCCTTATAGTGGTACACAGCCTGAGGTCTGTTGCTGTCCTCTGGAGGCTATCATGGGACTGTACAGCCCATGGCCTCTCTGCCCTTTTTCCTCATTGGAAGAGAAGGTCCTATAAGCCCTCAGCACTAGAGGCATTTAGGGTCCAGGACATGGAAAAGTACAGATCTAGATAGGAACTTCCATGTCCTTATTCCCAGGGCTCTCACTTATGTAAACCAATCCTAGGGGGACAGGCCCACCTCAGTCTAAAAGCTCCCTGACCTTCTATAAACCCCCTGTACTGAAAGAAACCATGTAAGACACCAGCCTAAGTCCTATCCTTACCCATAAAGGATCTAACTTTGAGGGGGTAGGGTTTTTGGGTAGATTAAATCAGCTGTAGATCTGGGGATCCAGAGGAGTCTGAAGTCTTGGGAGAGAGGCACAGAAAGGTGAAACAGCTGTATCAATGTGAAATAAGACTGGACAGCCAGTAGCTTCCTCCAACCTGCTTCCACCACCCCTTCTACTCAGGGAAGAAGGGTTGGGTGTACCTAGGCACTCATGCCCAGACTCACCTTTCAGTTAGACTCCACTCCAACCATCCAGCCAAGAGAACTCTGTTTTTATCAGTGAAAATAAAACATGTTTATTACTGTAAAACTTTATTAATACAGGTCCATAATCCCTTAACTGAAACCTTTGGGTCAGATGTATTTACAATTCCTTGCATATTAGAAAGGATTCTATCTGGCAGATGTTGAATGTACTAGCATTTCTGTAGAGAATTGCAAAAAGGCACACTAGAAGAAATTAAGGGTATAAATGATCTCACTTCAGTTCGGGTCAGGTTTGATGCCCAAATTAGGAAAAAACCCTTGGCTTTTGGATGTTTTTGCATTTTAGAATTGCAGGTAAAGGATTGGAGATCTGTACTTAACTGCACATTTACAGAACAGCATAGTTGTCGTTGAGACTTGGTGCAGTGATGAATCACACAGATGGCAGTCAGACTGCCTGGTTTCATTACAGCTCTGCCTATGGCTCACCCTCTCTGGACTTCAGGTTTTTCACCCACAGCACAGGATTATTCTTCCACATACGCATGTTAGGAGGATTAAACAGCTTAATGAAAGTAAAGTGCTTAGAACCTTGCTGGATAATACACATAGAAAACCTTGGTGTCACTGAGACAGATATTTAAGTGCCATCCTTCAATAAGATCTAAATTACTAGCTCACTGTTGAGGCCCTGCAGGCCACAGCACAGGCTGGAAAATTTTTTGTAGTATCAAAGTCTTTCACATTCTCGGGCTTTGGTTTCCCAGAGAAGTAGAACACAGAAGTTTCAGAAGTTCCTGTAAGAAGGCTCTGTCATGGGTCCTGTGGATCCGGTAGGCTCCTAGCTAGAGGACGAACATGATGAAGAGGTAGAGGAGGCTCCTCCATGAGTCCATTATTCACTGAAATCCAACAACCCCACAACAGTGGAACACTTACTTGCCCGGGTCCCTGGCTTCCTCTCCATTCCAACTCACCAGACCCTTGCATATCACATAGCCTATGAGACGATAACTATTTTTGTTTTCTTGGAACTTGAGATTGAACCCAGGGCCTTGTGCACACTACGCAAGTGCTCTACCACTGAGCTATATCCTCAGCCCTTCTTAAAAATTATTTTGAGACAAGATCTCACTAAGGTGTATAGTCTGAACTTGAAATTATGATCTTCCTATCTCAGCCTCCTGAGTAGTTGGCATTACCAGTAGCTGGAATGACAGGTGTGTGCTCTCACAGCCAGCTATTGTTGCATAATCAAAGGAGACATGAGGGTTTTGCCCTATTGGTAGGTGAGGCTGAGAGGCTTTCCTGAGTTTCACACTTAAACATTTCCATTTGACACAGCAAAAACAGATATTTCCCTTATTGTAGAAAGTAACTTGCGTTCACTGTCAAAACTCAAACCATTCAAAAGGACAGGAAATAAAATAGGACTGTGTGTTGTTTCCCATCCTCCAGCTGCCTGCAGGTAAATAATAGGCTCCTGGGCATCTGTCCTTTTGAGTTTTCCACATAAACAAGACACTCTCACCTTGACCATTCTATTTTCTTTACAAAAGGGGGTCATGTATACATACAAGAACATATTTCTAAAAATAGGCACATATTCATAAATTTCTTCTCAGTACTAACAGATGGATGCCAAGACATTGTCCCTATAATTCCTCCTAACTGTTGTTCCAGTTTTCCCTTAACTGATTGGAGCCTCAGTTTCCAAGTTAGGGAAGTGGGGATAAGAATAATATAGCCAAATCCACAGGATGCCCATGAGGCTCAAGTGTAATATATATATATAAAACATGAAATCATTCTGCAAATTGTCAGTGGGAAACAGATCTGAGGAACTGTTATTACTGCCCTTCTATCCGCCCCCAACAGGAAATGTTTAGATTTTTTGTTTGCTATTATTTTTTTGCAGTGCTGAGGGATGGAGCCCATAGTCTTATATATGCTAGGCAAATGTTCTACAATTAAACTACATCTTGAGCCCTGAAATGATTAGATTTTTTTAGAAGGACTTCAGGAATGGAAAAACCATATCAGTTGCAGATATCATGCATAAGGAGGCTGGTAGAAATAAGAAGATAGGATGGACTCTTTGTGGTCAGATCACAGCTATCAGCCAGTTAGTTTAGGGTTTCTCTAGGAGACCCAAAATGCCCCTACAAAATACTTCCTTGATTTTGTAATGGGGAATTTTAATCAGCAGAGAGTCTGAGCAGCTTCTGTCCTTTCTGGGCTTTGGGAGTTAAGATTATCTTCTCCACCTGCAGGGAGGAAGGAGGGAAATGACAGATTGTTTTCTCCCTACCAATGCTTGGAATTGCTGGCTCCTGCCAGGGATGGTCTAAGATAGTGGGAGGGATCAGGGGCTGAGGCCAGGGCTAGAGAGAGGAAGTGCCTGTCCCAATGCCTCTACCATCTTTGGTTCTAAGGCATCTTAGCCATGTATTGGGGCTTCCTTTCCACATATAACCCACCCAGCCTACAAATAAACTGGAGCTTTCCTGTAAAACTTCTCTCTGGTGTGGGGAAAAAAGAACACAAAACAGATGAGGTGGGTGGTGGGCAGGGGTGGGAGAAGGGAAGCAAAGTAGTCCTGAATTCCCACCTTTGCCCTCTGCCTCTCTTTCTGGGCCCTTTCCAAGATCAGACTAAATGGTCTCATTTTTCCTTATAGGGCTGCATCAGCCAGGAGGACTCTCACACCTTTGTTTCTTCCTCACTTACCTTGAAGATACTTCTTTTTCAGTATCACAATTACAGCTACCAGCCCAACAAAGACCAGGACCATGATCCCACCAAGTAGTATGCCATTGCCATTGCCATTGCCAATAGAGGATGAGTCTAAGGAAGGCAGAGAAAAGAGTCCAAGACCATGGGGTTGTCTACAGGTGTCCTGGCACCCCCCTCTTCCCCATCTTGACTCCTCCTCAAGGTTAGCTCCTCACCCCATGCCACAGTGAGTCTCTGCTTCAGGCCAGGGTGCTGCACGTGGCAGGTATACCAGGCCTCCTTCCCAGCTGGCACCCGAACTGATGTCCATGTCTGATAAGTGCCATCCCCACTGGGGCGTGTCTCCACATGCTCAGTCTCCAGTACCAGCTCCTTCCTACCCAGCCACCAGCTCAGTGAGATGTCTGGTGGGTAGAAGCCCAAGGCCCAGCATCTCAGCATGGTTCCATCCTGGGTGGTGTGCTTTGTCACCTGCACCATGGGAGGCTCTGCAGGAAAAGGAGAGAACAATGCTGGTGAGCACCTACTCTGCTCATTCATTCCTCATGCTTTATCTCCATGGAGATCTTCCAAGTGTGGAGGACAGGATCTCTCTAGGGGAGGCACTCATGTTGGAACTTTGTAGGCATAGCTGACCCATTATTAATCATCCCAAAGGGGCAGTGCCCTGAAAATTTCCAAAGGGGATGTGATTTCCTATTCCCAACCTCTGAGTAGGGTCCTATGTGGCCATACCCACCACTTTTCCACTCACAGATCCTAGGATTTTTTTTTCCCTAGAGACTTTATATATCTACTCTTTGACTTCCAGCACATAGTAGGTACCTAACAAGTGGTTGTTAAAGGAAGGCAAGGATGATAATACTTTCCTCACCTTAAAACTAGGATGGGGAGGAGTTTGAAGCCCCGCATAACTTCTTTCCAGCTTGGTAACCTGAGGGAGGCCCTTTAACTCTTCATTTTCTCAAAGCTTAATGGGGGAATTAATCATTCTTTTTTTTTTCAGGGTTGTTAAAAATAAGATGATCTTGGTAAAGGATGTAGACCATGTCTTGTGCTAAGTGAGAATTTAACAATCGTTGTGTAACATACCATATTATGGAGTTTTGGAAAGTGGGCATCATTATTACTATGCTATTCTGAAATAAAGCATGTCCTGGCTCATAACTCCCTTCCCAAGACATCTCCACTGGGGCATTTCTCCATGTGCTCAGCCTCCAGGGCCAGCTCTTCTAGCCACGATTGTAATGAGATGTGTCATGGGTAGAAGCCCAAGGTCCAATATCCTAGCATGGTCCCATCCTGGATTGTGTGCTAGAATTTCTTTTCCCCATGGCTGGTTATAGAAGCTCTAATCTTTCTCCATCTGTATTGAAGCTGACCATAAAGAAATTCTCTGACCTATCTTTGTCCAATAGATAAGACCATCCTCATTCCAGAAGAGGCCTTCCCCATATCCTGGAGGGAAGAATGCTGTACAGGGAGGCCAGAAAAATGCTGCAGCAGGCAGGCCATAGGGGGTTTCCCCACCCAGTCTATTATCATTAGTGCCTATGTAATGGAGTCTCCATACAAACCTAAAGGATAGGGTTTGGAGGGATTCCACATTGCTGAACACATAGAGATTCCTGGAGAATGGCAGGCCCAGAGACAGCATGGAAGCTCCACACCTCTTCTCTCTTTCCATATTCTAAACATATCTTTATCTGTACCCTTTGTAACATCCTTTATAATAAACCCATAAACATAAATGTTTCCCTGAGTTCTGTGAACCACCAAAGCAAATTAACGAAACCCAAGGAGTGGGTTGTGAGAAACTCAATTTATAGCTGGTTGGTCAGTCAGAAGCACAGTAAAACAACATAGGATTTGTGACTGGCATTTAAAATAGGGGTGGGGAAAGTAGACCTGGGGACTGAGCCCTCAATCTGTGATCTGGCACTATTTCAAAGTAGACAGTATCAGAACTGAATTGGATTAGGGTATGCCTACAGACAGGGTGTTCATTGCTCAAGACAATGCTGTGGGTCAGCAGAGAGCCCAGAATTCCTTACTCTATCACACCTGGAGCAAGGGATCTAGGTTCAGTTTTGTGTGAGGAAACTGTTGGCTAATTGGCCCTCCCTTTGGAGGGAGGGATAAACCGTGTCCTCTTGGTGAGCTCTTCCAAGAGGACACAGCTTATCCCTTCTTCTCTCCCAGGCTTCTCTGTCAAATGGGACAGCTCTTGTGAATGGGAGTATATGGCTCACTCTTTGCGTGGCTCCTGCTGACTGGGTCTTACCTATCCGCGTGAGGCTCTGGCTTCCCAGCTCCAGATACCTGTGCAGGGAGATGAGGCAGAGGCTTTCCAGGTAGGCCTTGTCATACTCTGCATAGCAACGCTCCATCTCCCACCAGCGCTTGGTCCGCACAGCCACTGGCTCTGCTGACACCCAGCTCAGTGTCTCTAGGTCCAGAGACAGGTGGTCCTGTCCATCGAAGCCAAATTGCCAGAAGCTGCTGGACCTGCCATCTTCCTGGATCTCACAGCCAAACATGCGCTGAGCACTGTGTATACCTGTATATGCAGGCCAAAAGGCCCTGGTTATTGAAGGCCACAAGGCCAGAGCAGAGAGCCAGGGAGAAGCCTGCCACCTATGGGCCCTCCAAATGGTGGGGTGGGCATTGGCATTAAAAAAAAAAAAAAAAGCTACCCAGAGAATTCCCATGAGCAGCTAGGGTTATCCACATACCGCCACTCTGATTGTGGTAGCCCATCACTGTCCACATCTCCACCTGCTGCACCTTCTCCCAGGCCCTCTGTTTCTGGGTTTCTGTCTCCCAGTACTGGGAATCCACTAGTGCCATCCACGGGGCCTGAGGCTCAGCCTTCCCTCTGCAACTGTCATACCGGATGAAGGGCTGGTCGTCCACATAGCCCACAGCCAGAAACTTGGGGAGGCCTGGGCCTGGCTCTGACAGGGTTAGGTAGTGGTAGTGAAGTGAATGGGTCCCTGTAGAAACACAAAAATGGTCTCAAGTTCACACACACAGCTGGGACCTGTATGAGGTTTGTAACAGGATGGAGTGAAGGGTAGAAACCTACCCAAAAAATATTCTGTCAGCAAGATTAAAAACTGTGAATTTTAAGGGCAGCTTAGTAGTAGAGTGCTTGTCTAGCCAGCATGAGGCCTGCAGTTAAATTCTCAGCAAAGCACATACATACATACTCACACCCCAAAAATGCAAAACTGGAAATTTCAGTTAAAAAAAGAAAGGATGGGGGAATGGAATGGGAAGTTATATTTAGTGGGTATAGAGTTTCAGATTAAGAAGATGAAAATATTCTAGAAATGGATGGTGACGATGGTTATCCAATAATGTGAATGTATTTAATGCCACGTTAACTATATACCTAAAATTTTTGTTATGTATTTTATAACAATAAAAGGCATCCAAATAGCTTAAGCAGTCGATCAATTAAACTTAAACTAAAGTTCATGCATTAAAGCTCATGGACTTTACTCCTAGAAAGTTCTCAGCATCTCATTCATGGTCTAATTATTCAGATCTTACAGTCATCTCTGTAAGTAATGATCATCTCACAATTTAAAAGAACATGGTTTTTAAAATCGTGGTTGTTAGGAATCTTAATTTATTTAAACATTCTCCAGAGAAATTTGATCAAGTCCATCCATCATTATTTTCTTGAGCCATCTTGCCAAGTTGGTGGTTTATTATTTTTTAAAACAGTGCTGGGGATTAAACCCAGGACATCTCTCATACTAGGCAGGGGCTCCACCAGTGAGCTATATCCCCAGCTCAAGTTGGTGGCATCTTGATCTCCACTCCCTGCTTTCTTCTTTTCCCACAGCAGATATTGCTAGTCCATCTGTTCTGAAATTCAAATGCTGCCTCAAGGTTACTCTGTACCATGTCTCCAGAAGCCTCAATTCAACCATTCAGTGTTTCTAGAGATGAAATCTATTTAGCAGCCAGTCTTGACTCCAGCTATTAAAATAATGCTGTATCTTTTTTAAAAGTCACTGCACTGGGCTGAAGGTATAGCTCAAGGGTAGAGCATATGCTTAGCAGGCATGAGGGTTCACCCAAAAAAGTAAAAAAAGAAAATTCACATTTTTTTTCTCAGAAATATCCATGGCTCATTCCCTTACCTAATTAAGAATTTTTACTTGCATGTCACCTTCTCAGTGAGGGCTTTCTTGCCTACTCCATTGAATATTGAATACTTATCCTCCCATCTCTGCATTATTTTTTCTTCAGAGAACTACAATCCTATCTGCAAAATGCACTTTGTTTATCTTGTTAATGGCCAGGCTCTCCCCAGCAATCTCAGCTACTCAAGGACATTATAATCTCTTACTTTTTGTCAAGAACAGCACTGGGCACACAGTCAGTGCCCATGTTTAAACATATGGAAGAAGTCAGACACATCTCCACTGTAGAGGTAGGCTGTTTACTACCTCTTTGTGATGTTCTGGCCATACCAAACTCCATCCAAGCCTTTTGAACATACTATTCCTTCTATCTCAAAAACTTTCCTCCCTCTCTTGCCTAAGTCAATTTCTTTTCATCCTTCTCTTTACAGCTCAAGTGTCCTTTTCCTTCAGGAAGCCCTCCCTACTGATTCCAGTCTGACAACCTTCAGAGAGGCCTTAACAGTGTCCTGTGCTCTCTGCAAAGATTGTGGCCTCTATGAGAGTGGGTGTTTGAGTAAACACTAGTCCTTACCTGAGAAGGCTCCTCCTCTGGGCAGTAAAATAAACATGAACGAATGTGATAATGAAGGAAATGAACCAGGGAGCTGCCTATTTCCCTGGTCTCCAATCTTTAGGTGAGGAACAAAGCAGAGTGACTTTGGTTGTAAAGTAAAACAGTGTACTCAGTGTACTCGTAAAACATCTGAAGAGCTTCAGCAATGAAGAGGTACTAAGCAACTCAGTGAGACCCTGTCTCTAAATAATACACAAAATAGAGCTGGGGATGTGACTCAGTGGTCAAGTGGCCCTGAGTTTATTCCCCACTATATCCCCCTCTCAAAAAAAAAAAAAGAAAAGAAAAGAAAAGAAAAGAAACATCTAAAGAAATCCATCTGTTCAGTAAGCATGCAATCTATCCCATATACTCTTGCTTGAGGTGTGGGGTGGCACCCCATGGAGGTGTGTAGGCCCTCTAGCCTACAGCCATCAAGGAGACCTTGAATAATCTAATGTCCAAAACCTCTCTGTTGAGTCCTCCAAGTTCCTTCTTTGGGATTGGTAATCAGTATGTTTGGGGCATTTGTACCCCTGGGGTAAACAGTGGGTAATACATCTACTGTTTCCCCTTAAGTCATGCTTGGCTCATAGTGAGCACTTATTTTCTGCATTTGTTGAAGTAGGGGGAAAGGAAGGCATAAATGGAAGTGACAAAAATCACAAGTGCTAATTTTTGAATGATAGCTCGTGCCTTTGATAGAATGATAGAACCCCCACTGCTCTGCTTTTTATTCACTATCACAATCTTCACAATGAATTTAAGAGGATGGTGTAATTGGCTTCATCTTACAGATGAGGTAACTGAGGCTGAGTTGTTATGATTCAGTTTCTCATGACTGCAGCCACTTTGATTCATAATCCATGATTGCTTTTCAGTAACTCTACTGGTTTTCCTGAAGGAAGATAGATAGAACCATTAAGAGTCCTATGTAGGGGTTTACAACCAGACTCTGGCTCCAGTGTTAGGGGACAAACAGATGAGGATGGTGGGAAAGTGAGATTAGGATAATAATTCTATAAAATGGAACCACTGTGCTGACCTTCACATACTTTCTTCACCCCACATGCTTTCTTTGCCAAAAAAGCAATTTATCTGCTGCCCTGCCAGTCTACATGGACAGGGTATGTCACAAAACTTCCTGTTATCTACAAAAAAATGCAGGCAGGAAATAACATTGATAAGAGGAACTCAAAAAGGTACTTTGAAGGGAGAAAGATTTGTGACCCTTTTCACAGACCAGATTCTGGAAGATAAGGATAATTCCTCCTAATCACAAAACCTGTAAAAAATGATTAAGAAAAAAATCTAATTAGAACTGCTCAGCATGGACCAAGAGAACCTAGCATTGTCATGGCAATAAGTACTTGAAAGTCTGTTTTCACCCTGCTTTGTCAGTCAAAAGTCAAGAGGTGGACTTGCGCAGGACTCTGGAAACTTCCCTGGGACCCCCCAAATAAAATTGGAATGCAGGAGAGACAAGTTGTCTCTCTCCTCTCTGAGAGGACCCATTTTCTCCCTTGAGAGTGTCCTCTTTCCCTTTCCTATCCCTTCAATAAACTCATTCTTGTTACTCTGAAAACTTTTCTGACTTGATTGCAAGAATCTGGGTTTGGGAGGGGGGTCTTCACACTGCCTCAGTTTCCCAGAACGCCCCAGCTGTGTTAAACAGGGGTGCATATAACTCTTTGATATCATCTTAAGACAAATCAGGTATGTTCCAGCCAAGATGAAGTTACCTTTGTTTTAATCCTTCTTGTCTCTCTTTTCTAACCCAAATTGCTAGAATTCAAGTGGTCTTGCTGCCACTGCTTACAAAAAGACAGTACTAGAAAGAGGTGGGGTGGTGCCTGGATTCTCTCCCTAGATCTTGCTGCCTTTTTGTAAGCAGAGAAAAGAAGAACTACCTCCTCAGAGCTGGAGAAACTTCATGGGGGTCAGCTTGGGTCAGCTTGAATGTGAAATTATAAGAGAGCAGTTCATTTTTTTAACAGAATTATTTTCTCAAATTCCCTCAGGAATATGATTTAAAAGGCTATTTCTTCCTCCTTCCCTCCCAACCTCCCCTTTCCCCTGATCTCTTCCAGATCATTTTTTAAAATATATTTTTAGTTGTTATAGGCCTTTATTTTTTTCATATATGGTGCTGAGAATCAAACCCAGTACCTCACACATGCCAGGTAAGTGCGCTACCGCTGAGCCACAGCCACAGCCCTCTTTTCTCAAATCTTTAATAACCTTTCTTTTTTACATATTATTCTAAATTCTATATAGAGCCCTTAGGCTGGGGCTATAGCTCAGTTGGTAGAGTGCTTGCCTTTCATGTACAAGGCCCTAGGTTCAATCCCCAGCAAAACACACACACACACACACACACACACACACAAATAGAGCCCTCTGTAATACCCTCTCCTCTTTGGAAAAGGGTTCCAGGAGGTTCCCTTTGGTGTGATGAAGAGGGAACAGAGGCTAAAAGACATGACACTCTTAGAAGTAGGCAACCTCTACCTAGCACAGGGATTTCTTGCCTTTTGTCCCATTGTATCTCCTTTTCTTCCCTCATAAATGCTGTTCCCATTTATTGATTCTTGATTTTATTTCTTACACTTTAGGAGTCTTGTTAAGGAAGTCAGGGCCTAATCTGACACAATGAAGATTTGGGCCTACTTTTTCTTCTAATAGCCATAGGGTCTCTAGTCTTATTCCTAGGTCCTTGATCCACTTTGAGTTGAGTTTTGTGCAAGGTGAGAGATGGGGTTTAATTTCATTTTGCTACATATGGATTTCCATTTTTTCCCAGCAGCATTTGTTGAGGAGGTTATCTTTTCTCCAATATATGTTTTTTGGTTCCTTTGTTTAATATGAGATAACTGTATTTATGTGGGTTTGTCTCTATGTCTTCTATTCTGTACCATTGGTCTACACGTCTATTTTGGTGCCAATACCATGCCTTTTGTTACTATAGTTTTGTACTATAGTTTAAGTTCTGGTATTGTGATGCCTCCTGTTTCACTCTTCTTGCTAAGGATTGCTTTGGCTATTCTGGGTTTCTTTATTTTTCCAAATGAATTTCATGATTGTTTTATTTTTATTTCTATAAGAAATGACATTGGGGGGCTGGGATCATGGCTCAGTGGCAGAACACTTGCCTCGCATGTGTGAGGCACTGGGTTTGATCCTCAGTACCACATATAAATAAATAAAAAATAAAGATATATCAACAATTAAAATATTTTTT